GGTTCAGCCATCCGGGAGGGGCTCAGAGTAGAGCAGCTGCTGCTCCACATCGAAAGGAGCCAGCTGAGGTGGTTCGGGCATCTGACAAGGATGCCCCCTGGGTGCCTCGTGGGTGAGGTGTTCCAGGCATGTCCCACTGGGAGGAGGCCCTGGGGCAGACCCAGGACACGCTGGAGAGATTATATCTCTCGGCCGGCCTGGGAACGCCTTGGTGTTCCCCCGGAAAAGCTGGAGGAGGTGGCTGGGGAGAGGGAGGTCTGGGCCTCTTTGCTTAGGCTGCTGCCCCCGCGACCCGGCCTCGGATAAAGCGAGTGAAGATGGATGGATGGATTACACTATGATATAAGACATTATCTATAAGTTTTTTTTTATTTAATTGGCTATGCAAATAAGCTACACAAAAACCCCACTCAGCAAAGTAACAGGATCAGGAAGTGATACTCTACTGCAGAGAGAGCAAACACCAAGTGAGATCACCAGCCAAAGGAAGGCTCAAAAGAGGTTTTCTTATCTATGTAGTTGCATGGTAACAGAGAGGGAAGGTAACAGTCCCTGTGGTAATCTGAGCACTTGGAGCAGTAACCCCTAAACTGGGCAAGTGGCTCCAGCAGTTTTCAAGAATGACTTTTGAGATCTCTGACCAGAAGAGCATAGTTCTCGGAACAGCAAAGGATCCTCAAGCACCCAACCCCAAAGTGGGACAAATCTTTGCAATCAAAATGTCTACAAAGCATCCAGTTTTGTGTTACTGGCAACTCAACATTGATGGAAGCCCAATTGGGATAACCACATTTTTTTAGAGCTTTCTTTGGATGTTTGGTTCTTTTCTTTCCCTGTGTGTGGGCTGCCGGTAAACTTAAGTGTTGAGGTTTACATTGTCCTCAAATGTGCACGGCACAGTGCTGACAGAGGTGAATGGAAACCATAAAACTGAAGTTTGCTGGAAGCCCACACACAAACACCAATACCTTCTCTTTGACTCTCACCACCCTCTGGAACACAAACTTGAAGTAATCAGGACCCCCCTACAACTAGGGATGAACCAATCGCATATACAGTATCGGTATCGGACCGATACTGACCTAAATTACTGATTTACTTAGTGACCTAAACCCAATCCATTAAATACTACAAAAGTGCCTCACAAAATTTGCGACATAGTATA